GAGGAGGAGGAGGAGGAGAGGGAGGAGGGAGGAGGGAGGAGGGAGGAGGGAGGAGGGAGGATGGGAGGAGGAGGAAGAGAAGGAGGAGGAGAAAGAAGGAGAAGGAGGAAGGAGGAAGGAGGGAGGAAGGAAGGGAAGGAGGAGGAAGGAGGAGGGGAGGAGGAAGGAGGAAGGAGGAAGGAGGAAGGAGGAAGGAGGAGGAGGAAGAGGAAGGAGGAAGGAGGAAGGAGGAAGGAGGAAGGAGGAAGGAGGAAGGAGGAAGGAGGAAGGAGGAGGAGGAGGAGGAGGAGGAGGAGGAGGAAGAGGAAGAAAAATAATAATAAGAAGAATAAGAAGAACAATACGAATAAGAAGAAGAAGAAGAAGAGGAATACTAATAATAATAATAAGAAGAAGAAGACTAATAAGAATAAGAATAATACGAATAAGAATAATAAGACGAATAATAATATTAAGAATAATAATAATAAGAAGACGAAGACGAAAAATAAGATTAATAATAATAATGATAAGACCAATAAGAATAATATTAAGACGAATAAGAAGAATAATAATAACACTCAGAATAATAATAGTAATAATAATAATGATAATAATAATAATAAGAATAATAATAATAATAATAAGAAAAATAATAAGAATCATACTAATAAGAAGAATAAGAAGAATAACACGAATAATAAGAATAAGAAGAAAAATAAGAATAATAATAAGAATAATAATAATAAGAAGACGATTAAGAAGAATAATGAGAATAATAATAAGAATAATAATAATAAGAATAATACTAACAATAATAATAATACTAATAAGAAGAAAAATACTAAGAATAATAAGAAGAATAATAAGAATACTACTAATAATAATAATAAGAAGAATAAGAAGAAGACGACGAATAAGAAGAATAATAAGACGACAAATAATAAGAATCAGACGAATAATAAGACGAATAATAATAATAATAAGAAGAATAAGAAGAATAAGAAGAAGACTACTATTAATAATAAGAAGAATAATACGAATAAGAATAATAATAATAAGAAGAAGAAGACGAATAATAATAAGAATAATAAGAAGAATAATAATAAGAAGAATAAGAATAATAATAAGAAGAATAAGAATAATAATAATAAGAATAATAAGAATAAGAAGAAGCATAAGCATAATAAGAATAATAAGAATAATAATAATAATAAGAAGAAGAATAATAATAATACTAAGAATAATAAGGATAAGAATAATAATAAGAATAATAAGAATAATAATAATACGAAGACTAAGAATACTAAGAATAATAATAAGTGGAGTAATACTAAGTAATCCTACTACTCATTCCCCTTGTGCGTTTGCTTATTCAGTGAGGCTATGTCTTCTTATTGTATTCGGTTAGGATGGGAGGAGGGAGGAGGAGGAGGGAGGAGGGAGGAGGGAGGAGGAGGAGGGAGGTTTTTTGACTGCACTTAGCTCGTTGCAAGTAGCTTGAGCGGGGCGGCCGCAGGTCGGCTAGGCGGCAGACAGAGCCCGCCTAGCGGGCACTACAAAGGATCTCCGCTCCTGGTCCGTCCGCAAGCAAAAGCGATTTTTCGCCATTGGACCTGCATGTTGGGCGGGGGAGGTATTGGCACCGAAGGGGAGGGAGGGGGAAAAAGAGGAAGAGAAGGGATCGGTGCCGTGCGAGAGTCACTACGCGCGCCAGCTAGGCGTTGCCCTATGCGGGCAGCGCTGAAAGACCGAAGAGCAGCACAGCTGGCCTCAGGAACGGCCACCTGGGAGCATGGCTTAGCCATGGATATGAGCGGGAAGAGTAGGAAGAGGGCCAAAATGGCAGTGCCGCGCTGTAGGGCGGCCGTGTCGGAGCGGACCAGGAGGGAGAGGCTGGCATTGCCGCCTAGAGACCTAGGAAGCCCCATCGGAAACGCACGTGACCGGTAAGGGGGGCAGGTAAGAGAACGCCTGTGCTGTACTTGGCTTCTTAGTGTTAGCGGGATTCGCCGACACGTGGTAAGAGGGGGAGGGAGGAACTCGATGGAAGGAGAAGTAGTATCTTGCACAGCCAAGAAGCACTAAGGCGCGGTAGCTGTCCGCAGAGGTGCGCACCTCTGATGGGCAGCGTTAGCCGAGAGATACTCGGCATGGGGGAGGTGCTGAGGCAGCATCTATTCGCGATACGAAGGGAGGGATGCTGCCATCAGCGCACAGCGTACTGCTGTGCGGCCAGGCAGGGGACCCTGCTGGCGGTGAGGCCATTCAGCAAGGTAGCTGGCGAAGGTGCTGGCTACCAGCGCGGCGAGGCTGGGGTGTTGGCTCGGGGCCCCACGCCGCCTAAGGTATGGGGGGCCTGTGGCCCAGACTCAGCCTGGGGCGAGTCAGCGAATTATGACGGAGGCTGGCGGCCTGGACGTAGGCTCGCGCTTGCTCGCTGGAGCCAGTGGCTCGCTGTGAGAGCGCCGCCAGGCCCAAATGTAGGGGCGACGCAGGCCGCACTAGCGCGGCGGTATATATAAGAGTACTGGTGCTGGCGTGCCGCCTACATCAGTGCTTCCCGACATGGGCGGCCGTGCCCATGGGGTCAGAGACTAGTAGGGCCTGCGGCTTATCTGGGCATCGTCCCAGGAGCAAGTGGCTATCGCCTGCAGGCGAGCGCAGGCCGCGTGGCTGGCGGGGTGAGTGAAAGGAGGAGGCAATAAGAGGAAGGAGCGGGGTCCCCGAAGGCACTTGGCTGCGCGGGGCCACTTGCTTGCCGCAGCCTAGACTCAGCCGTGGCGAGTCTGCGAATTGAGCGGTGAGCGTTGAGCCGACCGCTCTCCTGGTAGCGGGGCTGCTTAAAAGTGTCGCGTCGGCCGCACTCGTGCGGCAGAGAGGTGTGAAGCTAGAGACTTATGCTGGCTAGCCGCCTACATTAGTCTGTCCCTGCATGTGGCGGAGGTGCCAGCAGGGGTCTAGTTGCGCGTGTTAAGGGCCTGCGGCTAGCGCTGGGGCATGTGCGGAGTGAGGCAGAAGGAGGAAGAAGCTGGATCCCCAAGAGCACTCGCCGAGGCCTCAACTTGAGGCTAGACTGGTAGCGGTGAGACAATATGGACGTGCCCTGTGAAAGTGTATGGGCGACTCTTGCAGCGGGCCCTTGGGATGGGGCTGAATGATGATAGAACTGAAGGGCCCGCTGCGACGGGACTGCAGGACGGCTCAGCCGACCTTAAATTGGAGCGGCACGGCTCCCCAGCGCGTAGAAATATTCGGCTCGTGTGGCTGGCTAGGGCTGTTTAGGTGGTGGGCAGCCGAGGTGAACAGAGACTAGGGTATTAGGCTAGCC